TGGAAGGCTCTCCCACCGAGCAAGTTGAGAACTTGGAAACATCACCTGAGCCACCAGAGAACTGACACATCTTCATTATCATCGTCATCGTCAGGTATTCACACAGACAGCTTGGGGGAGAAAGGACCTCTGCTAAAACTCACAGAGATACAGGGAGTCTTGACTCACTGTTTATTTGTGTAACAAGTTGATGCTTTTACTACTTTGTCTAAATTGCTTGGTGTAACAAATTACACAATTAGATAATTAGATAATTGTGGTGTTTCTTACCTGGCATCAGCAGAAATTGGAGAAAATTGTTCAATATGGTGCAGTGTCTAGCCCCCTCACCCAATTGACTTTAAAACGGGTCTCATGCGTCGTGTTATAATACTACCTACAATCTTTGACAGCTAGGCACAGTCATGTTATTTTATACAGAAATGCGAGTAGATAAACTTCTCTCTTCCTCCAGCAAAATGTCTTCTTACCTTTGAATCAGGCCTAGCAGTTAGGTGGCCACATTAATGATCCAAGCAAACGTTCAAAACACCAGCATGGCTCAAACAATGTTTTCAAAGGGCTCATGATGTGTTGGACCCAGTTGAGTCATTACTGAATGGAATTCTGAAAGCAGTTGAATTGTTTTATGATATCATGTGGCAGGTATTCTGACATCAGAAATGAAGTGAGATGAATCAAGGTGAGCATAATCAACTAAGTGATGTCAGACTGAGCAGAATTTGTGACTGTGTCTTCTAAAACTGGAACACATATTTTAAAACACTATGTCACGGAAACAACCAGAAATAAGGCTATGTCAAACCTCATGTTGTGAGACATTGTCAATCACTAATCTCATATTAAAGCATCCTCTGGGGCAGAGTGACCATATGATAGAACTCTATGTGTCAGAACGACATGATCACATCCGAAACTTAAACAAAGTCAACATGGTGGAGTGAAGGATGAACTATGGATTAGGAAATCAGACGAAAAGATGTGATAGTAAATAAGCAAAGGAAACATTTTAAAAAAAATCATAATTCTCAATTTCTTCGAAGAATCAAATCCACTAGAAAAGTATAGGAAAAGCTCCAAACCACGACTGACTAGTGATGTTAGGTTAAATTGAGGAAAAAAAACCACAATGTTGTCCAAAAAGAGTAGTCATTGTGTGGTTTGCGAGTGTATAAAAATTAATCAGCAAAAGAATGACCAAGAGATTAATATCAAAAGGGAGAAGGCATATGAGAATATTCTAGAGAAGCAGATTGGAAGAGCTTTTACAATTATCCAAAAAGAAGAGGTCGGTGAAATAAATGAAGTATGTTAAGAGGCATGGATAGCAGAAATTGTAATAAAAATTAAACAAATACTTTGCGCCTATTTACACAGTAGAAAATAAACAAAAAGTACAGGAACAAAAGTCTAATGACAATGAAGAACTGAAAGTCATTAATTTTAGACAACTGGAGGAAGGGTTAAGATTAAGAGTTAACGAATCCCAGTAGAAAAGGATTTTTAAAGAGGTGCCTGCAGAGATGTGCATTGATTTTGCTTTTCTACCATTTGCTAGTTTCGAGAGCAGTTTATTGGAAGGTAAAAAAAAATTCAAACGTTTAAGAAAGGAGAAAGAAAACGGAGCTATGGGCTAGTTAACCTGACAGCAATAAGTAGGGAAAATGATGGGATTCCTGATTAAAAATGTGGTTAACTTGGAAATACAATACAACCAAATACAGTCAGAAAAGTTTCATAGAAGGTATATCAAGTTTGATAAATGTATTAATAGCTGCACTAACCCTCCCATCTACTGACAGGACAGTGCCCTGACTCCCTCACCCTCCCATCTACTGACAGGACAGTGCCCTGACTCCCTCACCCTCCCATCTACTGACAG